CCCGGAGGCCTAGACACGACCCTCCCCTCCAGCCCGTGACCTGCCCCAGGAGGCCTAGACATGAACCCTCCCTGCCAGCCTGCTGGCGTGCTCCTGGGCAAGGTGCCCACTGAGTAGGTGCTGGGTTGAGCAGCTCACTCCCAGGGCTGACTGCTCTGAAGCTCAGACCCACCAGTGCCAGCTTAAAAAACAATGTTCACTTAGCAAGGCCAGGAACTCCTCTCAAGACGAAGATAAAGTGCTGATAACATGTGGTCCCGCATTAAGGTTCGGACAACCCACGGTGACTCCATTCCTGCCACGACCACGGAGGCGCTCTCTCCAGAACAGGGTGAGTGCAGGGAATGCAGCAGCCGCACAGCCGCGCAGGGGGCTCTGGGATCAGAGAGCTGGTTTTGTTTTACTGGGTTACTTTTCCCTACCTGAAAAATGGGGATAGAACTACGTGCCCGGCTTTCCTTGTGGGGCTGTCAAGAGCACGGAGCCAGAACATGTATGAAAGAGTATGTCAGAAAAGCCAGGAGAGCCACGCGGATGGACACAGTGACCGCGGGCGCCCAGAGCAAGCCGAGAGGCCTGCGGCCCTCTCCCTAAGGCGGTTCCTGTGGATCTAGGTGCAACCTGCCACTTTCTCAAGCATGTCAACACATACCGTAGTACATGTCTTCCTTCCGAAGATTCTGTGAGGTGCCTTTGCTAGAATTTGGGAGCTCGGGTAGGGCGCTATTTGACTGGACAAAAGGCAAACAAGGGAAATGAAGGCAGGTCGGCAGGGCTGTCTGGAGAGGGTGCACATGGTTTCAGCACTGGATGCACTCCAGACCAGCCGCCGCTCCAATGCCACAGCAGGGCTCTGCAGCACAGGCCCCACAGAAATGCCCTGCCCGCTGAACGCCCTGAGGCCGTGACAGGTGCCTGGGCTCTGGTTTTTCCAGGCAGTAAGGCATGCAAGTGAGGCAGGACACGCAAGCCCTCGCTCCGTACCCGTGCTGCCCTCCGCGTCCGGCTTATCTAGAGGGTATTCCGGCATGCATTCCAGGAAGAGCTCGAAGACGGCTGCTGCGTTCTCCTTGCCGTACTGTCCCAAAACGTGCAGCGGCGACTGGCCTCTGAAGAAACAAGTTGGAAAAGTTAGGAGCCTGCCAGGCCATCACGCACAAAATAAACAGAGTTTTCTCAACTCTGTGGCAGTGGATACATCTAAAAACACGTAACAGGTCACAAAATTTTTTCTTTTTTTTCTTTTTTATTTCACTGTAACCTAAGTGGATGCGTAACAAAAGTTTTGTTTTTTTTTTCTTTAAGAAGCATTTTTTATTAAAACAAAAATACCAGTGCCAAAAGTACCAAAATAAAGTACCCGGAAGCTGGTGAGATGCCTGGCGGCCAGTTCTACAGCCCCTCCTGGGGCTGATGGGAGGCACCAGCGCCGGCAGCTCTGGGCCGAGGGGCCTGCTCGGGGCCCACACACTCACCTGAGGTTAAAGGCTTCAGCGTCCACTGTGCACTCTGTCAGGAGAACCCGGATGTTGTTGAGCCGGCCGTGCATGACAGCAAGATGAAGAGCTGGGAAGTAAATCCTCTTACTGTGCAAGCCCAGGAGCACAGGCAGAAAACTCTCCACCCCTCCTCACCCTCACAGACCTGTCAATGAGACCCAGCCACAGCAGCCACTGGCCATGCACAGAGCCATCCTTTCTGCTCTTTAACGCCCTCAAGGATACACCAAAAACGCAATCTCACGACAGCTCTGTGCTGTGCTTTCGGCTTCAGCAGTTACCCAAAGGTGAGACTGAACTGTTTCCCAGGAAGGCAGTGTGGGCTTCTAGGGCTCTCAACCAGATGGGGAGGCTCCACAAGGCCTGGGCAGTGGCAGGCTGGATGCCCTACCCCGAGCACTCCCTGTCACCGCTTTGCTCCTATAAAAGCCAACTGCCCCAGGGGGTAGCAGACCCAAAGGGTGCACTGCACCCCACCCTAGAATGGAGGGATAGTTCAAGGCACTGAGCACTGTACACAGAGGAAGGACAGAGTTACCATTGTTTCCATTCTCATCCACCGCAGCAAAGTCCACTCCATTCTCTAGGAGGACTGAGCAGATGGTAGGCAGGTCCTGCTGGGCAGCGAGATGGAGGGCAGTCTGGCGATGCTTGGTTAATTCATTCACTTTGGCTCCTGCAAGAAGCTGTTGAAGCTCATTACATGGAGAGTCTCTCCACCACAATCAAGATCCCCCTTCTGGAGACCAAGCTGCTTGTCCTCTGACACCCACAGACGCTAATGGCCTGCCCTGCTGACAGGGCTGGGAGCGTGAGGGCTTCACACATACTCCCGCTGAAGCACGACCCAGCAAAACCCATGGCAAATGTTCAACTGCCATTCCTTAGGACACAGCAGCTCTACTTCTAAGGCTTTGGTATATAAAAACAATGCAGGACCGCAGCGATACTGACTGGACTATAGAAGGGTGTCCGCTGCTTATACTAGAAGGGCCTGAAGGCAAAAGGGTTTGCTTGTAAAAATTACAAACAATAGAACATGTAGTAATGAAGATGATAAATATTTATCAATTAACGTGGAAAGATGTTGATGACACGTAAGTTTAAAAAACCTTGCAAATTAGAAGATGGTACAATTCCATCTGGGGAAGACAGAGTTGTGTGTACACACAAGCATGCACACACAGGCATGCACACACAGGCACGTGGAAGGTGTTTCACAGCATAAATGCCACACTCGGGAGAGCTGGGAGTCCAAGGGAGACACTGTCTGATTCATATCCTTATGTGCTTTGAGTTTTTCCACAATGAGTATGTTCTATTTCACTGTTGTTTTCTATGTATTTACTTATTTTTGAGACGGCAACTTGCTCTGTCACCCAGGCCGCAGTGCAGTGGCACCATCATAGCTCACTGCAACCTTCAACTCCTGGGCTTAGATGACTGCCCACCTCAGCCTCCTGAGTAGCCAGGACCACAGGCATGTGACCCTATACCTGGCTAGTTTCTAAAAAAAAGTTTGGTAGAGACAGGGTCTTGCTACGTCGCTGAGGCTGGTGTCAAACTCCTGGCCTCAAGCGATCCTCCCACCTTGGCCTCCCAAAGTGCTGGGATTATAGGCATAAGCCACTGTGTCCAGCCCGTTTTTTAAAAGAAAGAACACCAGCTGGGTGCAATGGCTCAGGCCTGTAGTCCCAGCACTTTGGGAGACAAATGGGCAGATTGCTTGAGCCCAGAGGTTCAAGACCAACCTGCGTAACATGGGAAAACCTCATCTCTACAAAAATTTAAAAATTAGCTGGGCATGATGGCATGACACCTGTAATCACAGCTACTCGGGAGGATGAAATGGGAGGACTGACTGATCCTGCAGTGAGCTGTGATCGGGTCACTGCACTCCAGCCTGGGCAACAGAGGGACACCATGTCTCAAAAAAGAAAGAAAAAAAGGACACAAAGAATTACAGAATCAAAGGCAGAACGGGCCTTTAAATAATACCCCACATTCATTTAGTATTTGAAGTTCATCATCCTCTTTCTGACAAAGTTTAAAAAATAGTTGCTGTTAACAGAAAATTCCTGAGTTTGTAGTCAGAACCGTGTTTGCTGCTCCTGAGCTGTAAGGCCACCCTGCTTCCCCTGTGCGTACAGGCACTGCCGCTGGGGAAATCTAGGCGCTGGTCAGCTGCTCTGGGTAGAACCCTGGCTTCCAAGTCCCAGGACTCTGGGCACCCCGTCTGATCACTGATGGATGGGACATGTGAGCGGATATGGGACACGTACATGGGATGCATTACAGACATCTATTCACGGTCACTAGTGCTAAGTTGGGGATAATAACTAACTGCACAGTTGGTCAGCTGGGAGGAGTGAGAGGTGGGTAAAGTCAGTGGGAACAGGGTCAAGCATTATGCAGCGTTGAATCAAAGAGAAACGAGCACATGGACACGGGAAGACCTGCTGCTTCCAGGTTTCTGGGGGCTCCTCCCAGCTGCCGTGTCACGCCCTAGGAAGGCTGAAACCTAGATCAGGGACGCAGACCTCCTTCGGCTCCACAGAGGCCTAAAGACCGATGAACACAAGGCCCACTCCCTTCTGCTTTAGGACCTCTCTCTGCCTCCTGGGCTGCTTCCCCCACATCTGGTGTGGTGCCGGCACCATCAGAACGCCTCTCCTTATTCCTCAGTTCACACTCACTGCCTCGCCGCCCTCGGTCCCCTCACTGGTGAACCCGCCCATGCCTGTATCCCTCCCTCCCCCAAGACACCTTCTTTAAATGCTGCCTCAGCTCACACACAGCAAATCACAAAGCCTTCTCTAAAAAGCGTTTTTCAGAAACAATGACACCAAGGTGCCAAAAGCTGCGCAGGTGCCCTGGTGGCCAGTTCTGCGGCAGGGCTCAGAGGGGCAGGCCAGATGCGGAGGCCTGGTCTCAGCTCGACCCTGTCCTCTCAGCTCAAACACTTACAGTGGTTTCTCCGCGGCCTAAAGGATAAGGGCTGCTCACGGTTCTCGGTTTGAAACCTGACGCCCCACGATCTGTTTGCTGCCTGCCTCTCTAACCACATCTCTTTCAACTCTACTACAATTTCAACCAAATTTCCCTACTTAAAACACACCACATGCACTTCCCAATCTCCACATCTTTGCTGAGACGCTTCCCTTGCCTGGTGGTATCATGTTATACTGGAAAAAGCAGGCTTGGAGTCCAATAGAAAAGGCTAAAATCCAACACTACCAGCTCAGCCTTGGGGGTAAAATTCTTAGCCTAAGTTTTCTCCTTTGTAAAATGGAAAACATGTCTCATACCCTGCTGTGGTTTTGAAAATTAAGAGACAGCTCCCTTTAGAGTCCCAGTTGAATGCCTGACGGAGAACAGCAGTGGCCGTCCACTTCCTCTGTGCTCCCGACTGGCCTCTGTGCCCCCGCCCCACCTCTGCCATCCCAATCCTGCTTTCCATCGGCCACTCCAGCGCCTACAGCCTACGCAGCCCTATGGGGCACTCAGGACATGCAGCCTTGACACACCGTCTTCCGAGTGCACTGGCCTCATTCCCCAGATTCACACTGGCCTTTCACCACACCTGGCAAAGCACCTGTGGGGAGATTCTGCACAAGCTCTACAACAGGCTTTGACAACATATTACATATGATAGTATTTCTGTGTCACTTACCAAATTGCGGACAATAATTTCTGAGCCTGCTTGGACAGCAAGATGCAAGGGAGTCAATTTGGAAGCATCCTGGACTCTTGAATTCACATTAGCGTGGACACTGATGAGGAACAGCACGCTTTCAATATCAGAGTTCTGAACTGCCACATGAAGGAAATTCCGGCCCTTATTATCCACCTACAGCAACAAGTGGAAACAGAAATATTAGTTCCCTTTTAAAAGTACGTCCTAAGCTTCATCTGCAAGCTATACTGACCACTGTAGAGATCATGACATAGACCTTCCCTCAGGCCTAGGAAACTCCCTCCCACAACCCACCCAGAGACCCGCTCCACCTCTGTGCACAGAACACGCGCGCGTGACCACACCCACACGGTCAGGGGAAGTACCCGCTCCACACCTCTGTGCGCAGAACACATGCACGGCCACACCCA